TTTAGTGTACCTAGTTAGTAGTTGGAAGTTGACTTCCTTTCCATTATTGCAGCGAACAATTTTAATGGTAAAGTTGTTACGACGTGAATACGTGATACGGCCATACGGGTCATAATATATTAATATCTCGTATCAAAGTCCGAATCCGATAATTGCATCGAGATTTATACACATTAGTATACATAATACTATTAACTATGAACTGCACGTCTGCACTGTGTATAGTATATACTATATACAACTACACAACTATACAAGTATACAACTGAGTACTGACAACTCAATGGATACGTGTCATCGCTGGTATCATAGAACATATTACATAACCTAATAATAATATAGTAATAATATTTTTATATGCTGGTACAAGCTCCGGCGATAAGATTTTCAGAGTCCGGGGCAAATCGTATTGAAATTTTAAAGACTAAAGGCTGAAAGGGGCCCATACCCCACGGTCGTCAGAAAAAGTGGTTTAGAGGTTCCCCCCCTCCTTCATATTCCTACTACATACGTCATGGAAAACGGACGTTAGGTACGTCCTCCTCAATTATTAAAAGACAGGACATTTGGCCCCCGGAAGTTATGAGACGTTATTTAGCCATAGTTTACTAATAATATTTAAGAATTAAATTTGACTGGTGAAAATTATTATACTTGTAGGCAATGAATTTAAATTTTATAATTATACTGAAATTTTATATTTTTGAAATAGACTTAGGTAAGTAATTGACCGATATAATGTCTTAACATTAGACCACAATGGTGCTTCCGTCGTATAGTTCCTGCCATTAGATATTATTCGTATTCAATATTTTTTTCTATTCACACATAAGGAAACATTTGTTCTTTGCTATAATAATCAATTACTTAATTATATTTTATTAATTTTTTTACTATCATGAAAATCGATGACATCCACAATATCCACCTGCGTGACCATATAGGATTATTACATATATTTATGCAAAGCGAATGAGGTACCGTAAAACGGGGTGAATAGAAACACTTTTGAACTTTGAAGTATCATAAAAACTTTTCTATTTGGGCTATATAGATGATCAATACATCAAAATACTGGTCTCATTGAGCACTTTAAGTGTGTATATTCAATTGTCTTTTTGTTAAACAGATTATTTTATATATTTTTTTAAGTGCTTTGTTTCTATTCCCCCGAAAGATGGTGTCAATAGAAACATATATGGTTTTTTAGTGTATTTTTCTATTTTACTAATCGAAGGGTTGATAGAAACAAATATTTAGGTTTTTAAAAATAAAGAGAACAACATTTTGAATCTATTCTGTGGTTTAGAGTTCATCGAATTTCATACAAATTTGTTTTCGATTTAGTGAAGGTTTCATATTGATAACACGAATATTCAGTCGGGGAGACGTCGAAGTAATAACTTTCTTGATTTTGTTTCTATTCACACCATCGTTTCTATTCACCCCGTTTTACGGTAGATATAATAGATAGGTATTAATACATAGTAGGTACATACTTTATAATAATAAGTACAACATGAGTAACATAATAATATTAATAATATTAATTTAATTAATACAGAACAAAAGAGGTGGCGAAGAGCCGACGATGGTACATTGCATGAAATAAGTGAGGCAAATTTACACTAACTTGGTACAAACGAGAATGGAGGACACGATAATCGGTTTCAGAATAGTACCAGCGAACCAGGAGTGAGATAACGATGGGAGAGGAGGGGATGTTTAAAAACCTTTTAAACTCTATAATATACGTCATATTACTGGTCTATCATGTCAATAGAACCGCAACAACAAAGGAACCGCCTAACAAATTTCTTCGTCTGGCGCCAAAATGAACGACGAGGACGTGTGTGTCTAGGACTTTCCGGTTTCCGTACATCGCTGGTGACCTGCTGTAACTTTAGATTTGGCGTTGATCGCCACCCAATATCTGCAGCTGTCTCGCCAGCTAATTTTGGATGTATGGGGATGTTCGGCTCGGATACACAGAGCCTGCCGTCCAGAAAACCTTTGGAATCAAAATTTTTCGACGATTCCGGTTTCCGTACATAGCTGGTGACCTGCTGAAACTTTAGATTTGGCGTTGATCGCCACCCAATATCTGCAGCTGTCTCGCCAGCTAATTTTGGATGTATGGGGATGTTCGGCTCAGATACACAGAGCCTGCCGTCCAGGAAACTTTTGGAATCAAAATTTTTCGACGATTCCGGTCTTCGTATATCATTGGTACGGTTAAACTTCACATTTGGCGTTGATCGCCATCCAATATCTGTCGATTTGGCTGAGGAATTTTCACACATCGCAGCCATGTTAGGCATAGATACACATCTATATGACATATTTATTTGATAATATTATATAGACACAATTAACGGAGAAGATTATACAGAAAATACGTAGGAATGAAATTTATCCGTAATGAACACAAGAAATGAATATTGACAAGTGGTAACTATGTGACACAGATATGAATTGTATATTTTTGAAACATTCACATACATGGCAACGATATTTTTGTTGTTTGTGTAAATCTGAAAGTATCTAGATTTTTAACATAATATGGGTACAAATACGTACAAGTACGAACTGGAACTTTGATGATTTTTAGGGTTCGGGTTCCGGTTTGGTTCTTAGAAAACTAACATTTCTGTTTCGGTTTTCAAAAAAACCAAAATTCAACCTTTGATTTACTTTCGGTTCTTAAAAAACGAGAATTTCGTTTCCTGTTTTGGTTTAATACTAATGCGTAAATCCGGTTCCGTTTCGATTCTTTAAAAATTATAATAAAATATTGGTTTTGTCAATACCTGCCGTATCAATTATGGCGGGTCAATACAGGGGCGGACCCAGGGGGGGTTTGGGAGGTCAGCTGACCCACAGTTGTTTTCCCAGTTAAATGTGGCCCCTCGAAATGGCAAACTATATAAGCATTTTTTTATTTGAAAAAATTATGTACAGTGGTGAATTTAGAGGAGAGGCCCGTGCCCCTTGTCAATTTTCTGTCGACAAGTTGTTATGTAACTACGAGTATCATATAAATGAAACATTCAGTTGATAAGGATAATACTACCAACTATTAATTATTACTTATTATAATCATTATTGATAGTGTGTATGTATTATTAATTAAAATTAAAATTATACAATTTATATGTGCTCCCCCTTCAAAATATCGAAGATCTGCTATTATGATATAGGGGTATATCGTATATACAGCTGTGAAGACTGATGAGTATTGAAGTAAAATAACGCGTACGAAATCGTGTTTAAGCTTATCAACTTATAATGTACGCAGTGGCGTACACAGGGGTAGGGTTCTAGGGTTCTGACCCCCCCTGAAATTTTTTTTTCTATAAAAAAATTTTATTTACAACCATTTTGATACACAAATATTGCAATTGTTGGTCATTTTTAATGGATATAAAATAAATTGTTGAACATGTAAAATACGTCAATAATCGTAGTTTCTGTTTTTTTTTTCGGCTGATTTAGAACATTATTAATAAACGTCTGCCATAATCGATGGCGTACTATCGTCCATCAATTATTACCACGTTTATTACGGCCGGAGGAGCTCTATAGATGAGCAGGTTAAATACATTGTAAATGTAGACTAAATCTGAGACTCATTGTAATTTGTTATGTAAAAACCGCCAAAGAAAAAATAATGCAAATTATTTACTCAGATAAAACCCTAACCGAACTAAAATCCTGCGTACGCTAATGAATGTACGTAGTACGTACCTAAAATTCGATAAACACAAGTATAAAAATATGTTGGATATAGATATTATATAAGATTTTATGAAGTTGACATAGATGAAATTGATTAGAAGTGGAATACCGTTCATTACATCTAGTTTACCAACAAATGGCAAAACTAGAGTAACTGGACCTTTAAAATTAAATGATGTATTGAAAATTCATGATACACGATACATGGTTTCTTCATATCCAAATTTATATACTTTGTATAAAATGTTGTATACACTACCAGTCAGCAGTGCAACTGCAGAAAGAAGTTTTAGTGTTCTAAAACTTCTCAAAACATGCCTTAGCTCAACTATGACTGAAGACCGGCTATCAAATTTGGTCATATTGAGCATAGAAAGCAACATAGCTCAAACCATTGATTTTGTTAACGTATTAAGTAGGTACATAATTCGCACTAATGAAAAAGCGCAGAATATGATTGTAATGTTCTAGTTCTTTACTATTATTTTCATGTAGGTATTATTAAATATAAATTTTATTAATGTATTATTTTTGACTTTTCTATTGTATTAGAATTTAGAACCACCTATTCTATATCTCTTGTGAAAATGAAATCAGTCATTGAAAACTAAAATAAAATAAATATACTGCAAATATACGTATACAAATAAAATAATAAATTTGTATAATTTCTTCTAATGATTTAAATATGTCAGGTAAATTTTTTAATTGAATATAAATTTTAATGCAACAAATAAAAATAAATTAAATATAGCTATTAAAGCTTGTAAGTAAATTTTACAATTTACTTAAAAATATTTGATATAGTTATATTGAACGTTGGTATCAAAATGTGATGTAAATAACTAATAAGGTAAATCGCGAGCCCAGAGTGACTTTGTAATACCTAACTATATAGTTGGTTGAAGTTTCTACACAGTGGCCCCTCGTAAGTAAGGCAGACCCACAGTTCTAAAATCCTGGGTACGCCACTGGGTCAATATCAATATTTATTACCAGCTGATATCTTAACATTGCAAAATATGCACTCATCACTGTCACTTAATATACGACCCTGTTGCAAATAAGAAACCAAAATTAATCTCAAAAAACTTTTCCGTAAAAGAAAAATGATCGGTTCCGGTAAAGTGCCGATTATTTTTAAATATATATACCAATTAACATTTTTTTTTAAAGAAAACGTTAGGAATCCGGAAATTGTTCGCATGCCATCGAAATTGCAGACGTCGGTAAAAAACGATTTTACTTATGTTTGTCCCTATATGCACTTAAGTGTGCATCGCGTGATAGCATCCACGACTTATCGTAAAGGACGTGATAATAACGTTTCCGGTTGTCATCGCGGTGCGGAGTCGATGTGCCGTACTCATGAAAAAGTAGACCAATTGCTTGCTTCACCTTACCCGATAAAGTGCTCTGACGTATTACCGTCGCCCGTTGGTAAAGATGTCAACATAACAGCGGATAAACGACAGTCTTATGAGATACCTCTGCATAAACATATACTATATAGAACATTAGAACTCATCAGTCGCTCTCAAATATACGCTGGCGCGTACCTAACCTATGAGCTATCAGTTTTTGGCTCTTTCCGTGACTCTGGTGCCGTAATTTCATCGTTATCATACCTTGGATGTTGCGTGCTGCACCCTCCCACCGATTCATCCAGCATCTCCGCCAGGTCATCTCGCATACCTGGTCAAGTGAGTCGGCTATACGCCTGAATTGTACTTTTTTTTTTTATCTATAAATATGTTATTCATTGCCTATTATTACTATTATTATTACTAACACTAATTATAAGAGTTATCAGTTATGTATACGCTTCTTAAAATATTATTATGAAGTGCAAATATTACGTATTATTATCATAATAATAATAACAAGTGTCAGAGTTGATTTAGTGAAGATGAACTAGTGTATATTAACCTTTTTATTTACGATAAGGATGGGAGGCAATTCGTATATTTTGGGAGGCAACTAGTACCTATGCACCGGTGGTGGTCATAAGGGTATGAGTGGTGAGGTTGCGGGGTGCGGGTGTCGGGTGTCGAGATGCGGTAGCAGAACTCTCCTTTTTATACTACTGTCCGTAAAAAACTCAAAATAAGTCAAAATATTTGGAAAATGTTATAGTGTATAGAAAATGCTAATATAAACATTTAGTCAAAATTTTATTTACCTACAGTCATTTTTTTTAGAGTTGCACCAAAAACCAAAATTGATATTCTCGAAAACAGATTTTACTTAAAAATTCCGTTTTTCCTTAATTTTTTTTTGTTTTTTACGTCGTTTTCGAAAAATGAAAACTACAGGGAAATTTTTACTTTTGACCGTAAAGCACCAACTAGATTCACTTTCCTATTGAAGAAAATCCAAGCATTTTTGCTGTCCTAAAAGTGATGACAGACACAAAAATTAAAAAAATTTAAAAAAACACACATTGTAAATTCGCTCAGAATCTAAAATATTATATTAAATATTATATAATACTTTTAATATTGATTAAATTTAAAATAGTATAATATTACTTATATAAAATGTAGAGTATTGATGATAAATCTAAATAAATAAATCTAAATAAAAAGAGCAGCAGCATTAAAAAAACCGATTTTTGATACCAGGAGTCCATAAGATATTCGTGACGGACCACGTGTGATAGAAAATGACGGACATCCGTACATTTGGTTACATATCGATAACGCCGTGTAGTCAATTTTTGTAATTTTTTGCTGTTTTTTCAAATTCAATTTTATTGTTTTTCTCAACGATTTTAAAAACTCCTGGGAACTTTTACTATTGAACCCACCATATTCCAAGTAGATTCACTTTCCAACCAGAAAATATGCTGAACTAGAGGATTAAAGCATTGCTACTGTCCCAAAAGATTATGACAGACGTATAAAAAAAAAAAAACCCATTGTATGATAATATGATATCAATTTCAACATTCATCGCTCAACTCAGATTCTAAAATTTACTTGAAAATGAGCAACGGAAAATTGACTTTCGTATCCTGGTTGAAAAAAAATTATTTTTACTTTATACTTTACACTCACAATAGGCTGGGCAATAATTGTGCTAGCAGTAACTAAGAAATGTATTCATTGCATTTATAATATATCATTATCATTTTAACTTTTACTTTATTTCATTTTAATAGAAATATTTCAATGATAATTCAGATAGTGCAGTATATTATATTATTATATAAGTTATTTAAGGCGGCAATTTTCCACAGGCCTACACGCTTAAAACATGTAAATACACCTGTGGGAGCAGGTATATAGATGACAACCAGTAGGAATAAATAATAATGTTTGGATTTTCAATTTTAGTAACTTTTCTGTTGGGGAAATAGTTGTTTTCTAGTTGGTGCATTTGAGTGGTCAAATTTTAAAGCTAAGTTTTCAAAACCGTCGAGAATAACAAACAAAAAGTAAACTTTTACGAAAAACTAATTTTTATATTATAATAGATTATTCTGAGCAATGTAAAGGTTTAAGAAAACTTCCAAGATTCTTCATAGTTTTGTATAATAGCAGTTCAAAAATAAAAGTTTTGAGCCTAAAAGTTTAATTCTTTTCAAAATTCATCAAAATTGCGAACATTTGTATATTATTTTTTAGTCAAAAATGTATAAAATGTATAATTTTTATAGCTGTCATGAAAATTTAAAACAAGGTTTCTCATAAGTCTTTCATACTAAAATAATATAAAAAGTTATTTTTAACTTTAAATTTGGATGAAATTTGATATTTGAATAGAGAACAAAAATTATTTTAGTTATTTTTTTGCAATTTAAAAATATTATTCACGGGTTTTTCTAACTTTTTAAGTATCTGTACCAATTTAAATGTTTCTGCAAAACTTAATTCAACCTACTGTTTCACTAATAGTAAAATAAATTGCTTTAATAGCAATAATACCAATATACCATAGAATATACATACACATATTAGCTTTAGAGGTTGACAGACCCAGGCGCGGATCCAGTCGGTTTGGGGGGGGGGGGTTGGTATTGGCGGTATGGTTTCTTAAAAGCATTTTTTCACAAAATAAACTGTATAAAACTTATCAGGTTCTAACATACTGGGATGGTAGGTACCCAACGGCTAACGTTTCCCCCCCCTCCCAACCATAATTTAATTGTTTATAGTTTTGTCCCATATTTTTTATTTTGAAATCTGGCATCCTTACCTTAATGGATGTATTAATTTATTTAAAAAAAATTGTCGTAATTGTTAATATAGTCAAGTCGAAATTACTCGAAGTCGAAGGGAGATAAAAATTCACTTGGAGAAATGTATTATTCAAGATATCTAACTAATTTATAGGGGAAACATTTTCTAAGGAAATAAAACACAATTCAAGTTATCAAGTTTTTCGAGTGATCGCAACTTTACTGTAATAAAAAAAAAATGTAGAGCATTTTTTTTTTTGTATAATACTTTTTAGGTAAATTTTTGCTTATTTTAGAATTTTTTAGTGCATACAATTCGCAGCTCTGATTGTTATATTGTTTTTAATGATAGTAAATAATTCTAAATTATTTAACTAGGCCTCTGCTTGAAATAAAAATATAATATATTATATAATAAATTTTTTAATAAATGTTATTCTTACAACATATATTTACAGATAAATTGTATTATAATAATAATTATGTATTGCTAATCCCACGACGCAACTGGGAAAATAGTTTTTATTTCTGCCGTGTCTGCATCTTTTCTCGTCTTTAAGGTTTGTGCATAACTTGGAGTATCTACACTATTATTTTTTGAATCTACATCAGTGATGTTTGATACAGCCGAAGAGTCAGCATCTAAAAAAATAAATAAAAATACATTTAGCGCAATATTAATTTTATCTTGGTAAGTAAATGGGGATTAATTAAAAAAACTAGTAGCATTTATATTTTAGCATCAGTCAAATTACTAAAAAAAAATCAATTAAAAGCAATAATTTGCTGAGATTTTTGTTAAATGCGAGGTTGTTTTCCGTTTAAAGTATATCAAATTCAAATGTATGATATTTAATACATCAAAAATTAAAGTTATTATATGAAAAAAATCTTTAGTGGTGTTTTGGGAACACAATAGAAAAGTTAAAAAAAATTATCCATCTAAATTCTAAGTTAAAAATTAAAAGTAAACTCTACAAAATCAAACTTAAATGGTTTCTGAAATACCAATGTGGCAAGTTTTAAAAATTGTTGAATATACTAGAATTCTAGATTTAATCCTTGATTTAAATTATAAAACATATTAACAATAAAAAGCAATATTTATATCGATGAAAACATGGTGACTTTCAATTACATTTCCGAAATTAGCAGAAAAATGCTGTTGGGTACTGTATCTGTATGTATTGAATTTCAATCAAATAATAAATAAATGTATGGAAAACTTAATCTGCCATAAAAGATCAACACATTAATAACAGAATAGTAAATCAGACAAGAAAATAGAAGAAAAAAAAATTAGTTAAATTTAATTAATTGGTATAATCAATAAATGTTACCTAATTCAGTAGATTCATCTCCTTCTAATATCGGACTAATAGTTCCTCCTTTCGAAACTCTTCGTCTAAACATTTAAAAAAAAATTAATAACCACAGTAATATCATTAACAATTTAAATAAATAAATTGGTAAATAATTACCCTCTTGAAATGCGTGGTACTTTTTCTGGTGTATGGCCATCATCAGATGAATCTTCAGCAATTGATGAATCAACATTGTCTTTAGGAGGCGATGACAAACAATTGCTAATTTTTCTCTTTGTTGCCGTTGGTGCATTAGAAGTATATGTATCTTTGTAGTAAACGGACCAAGGCAACAACACAATGTTTTTATGAAGAGCTTGTAATTTTGGCAAAATTTTATTCATTGCTTTTGCTTGAGATCCATCTCTTAATGCCACCCAAGCAGATGTATCATTTATATACTTAATAAATACATTAGCTATAAAAACACAATAACATATTATTAAGTTTTTTTTTGTAAGTATTAACTTGTGTTTTTTTTTAAGAACTATATAACTTACTAAAGGGACTAAATATGTTTGTGATATCAATAGTTTTCCATTCTGGCGGGAAGGTAATATGATAAACATGGTTCCTTTGAAGTTGAGCTAGAAAATACAATTACTTCTGAGTTTACATGCTAATATTTAACTTGCACATTTTTTTTTTTTATTGTCTAACATTTGAACTAACATCATAAAATTATTATAGTTTATCTTTGAAATTTAATTGTTAGGTTTATAAAGTATGATAGCCTCTTACTAAAAGAGATAAAATATAATATAATGTTTTACTATTTTAGTAATTCAAGATATTTATTCTATAATTTATTTTAAAGTTGTATTTGAAATCATATTTTTTATACAATGGTATTGGTATACATTTGACAAAATCAAATGCCCATCCTTAGTAGAAACATTTACGAGGACGTAGCACCCGCATATGTTGTCTCTGTCTTACATACGTACGGCATAGCTAAACTGTTTTATCTCAGGAAAGAACTGAGAAGGCTACAGTCAACTATGAAACAAAATTTACATCATATAAAAAAGGAGAACTTTGGCTGGGCAAATATTTTTTCGATATCGGAACTTCAAAAAATGTTATTTAAGTTTGAAAAACACAAAAATAAAAACCGATATGGCGCAGCCTACGCTCTCCTTTTAATGTGGTGAAAACTTTGTTTCTTAGTTAAGAA